AGGTGGGCCTTTCACCTGTCACTGTATGAACGTGGCATCATGGAGACCTCCTGCATTCAGTTTAGCAGTTACAGCTGAGAAGAAGAAAGAGCAGGCTGCTCCTTCCCCATGCACTTGCATTTCTGTACATGCTTCTGCACCTCCTGATCTCTAAAAACAGGGAAGTATCTGTGGTGTGATTATGTGTAGAGAAGGAATAACAAGTAAGACATCTGATAACCCACAGGTTCTAGTGAAATCTGGATAAAATTGCTGGTTAATTTCCAGATTCTTGTAGGAATGTGGTTTTATTTGCAGTTCATTTACACCTGGGCGTTCTAAAATAATATTACTATATCATAAATAAATCTGGCCACTGTAATGCCAAACAAAATCAGGTTATTCTTATACAATAAAATGTGTTATGACTTGACAGCTAACGAAGAAGGGTCGAACAAAATTATTTTTTGAGAGACTCTCAACTGTATAACATTTGACATGCTTTGTGTTGTATGACCGCCCATGATTGATAGTCTGAGCAGTAGTGCTGGTACTTGTTTGTGCATTCACAGGCGTGAGGAAAGCACAGGCCTGCTGTACTCCTCCCTTTCCTGGCCCACGGATACCGTCAGGTGCATTTACGGTTTTGCGTGCCTAGAACCGGTTGTTTCCACCTCGCGGGCCTTCAGACTGGAGTTTCTCTGTTAATAAACTTTCCAAATAATTATTGCATTATCACAAGAACTCTGACTCCAGCCCCGCATCACACTGCGCCTTCACTGAATGTTGTCTAAAATTTATAGATTAGATTTTTATGAGGAAAAAACAGATCTATCTGCCTGCCCAGGGAGAAAATATTTCTAAACAGCAAACAAAGTAGTATTTTCATAAGGGCACCTAGTAACATTATGGAAAATACTTCCCAGACTGAATACAGAAGTGTGCTGCCAGTTACATGTAATTAGTGGCAAAATCCAACAGGTGGCACAAAAGTATTTGAATTTTATATTGATTTAAATCATATGCCGTTAAATTACCAAATAAACTACTGGGGTATTTTCTTTTTTTTTTAAAGGGGAGGTGGGGAGGAAGGGAAAAGCGTTACCCCGATAGCGGGAACGATGCTCTGCCTCTGCTGAGGGCCGAGCAGCCGAGGGGGCGGCCAGCGGCTCCCCGCCCCCCGGGCAGCCCCGGGGCGCCCGGGGCGGCGGGCCCCCCGCCCCCCCCCCCCGCCGCGGGCGCGGCCGGGGCCGCAGCCAAGCCCGTGCTGTTCCAGTTGGCCCCAGCCCGGCCCTGAGTTATCTGCAGCTCTGTGGCGGGTCACATTTTCCACTGAGCCATGTTTGTGTTTGAAAGGCGGCGGGGAGGAGGGGAGGAGAGAAGGGAGCGCGGGAGAAGGGCAGAGGCCCCCTCGGATTCGCATGGCGGGGTGGGGGATGGCGAGGGGAAGATGCATTTATGGGGGCGGGGATGGGAGCAGGATTCGTGCCCAGGGAGGGAGCGTTGTCTAGGGATGGGAGCAGCAACCAGGGGTGGGAGCGGGATGAGGGGGTGGGAGCGGTACCCGGGATAGGAGCACGGGTCAGGATGGGAGCATCACCTGGGGATGGACGTGGTACCCAGGGATGGGGACGTTACCTGGCAATGGGAGCAGGACCTGGGAGTGGGAGGACAATTTGGGTGTGGGAGCATTGCTCAGGGATGGGAGCAGTATCCGGGATGGGAGCAGTACCCAGGGATCGAGCGGTACCCAGGGATCGAGCAGTACCCGGGGATGGAAGCGGTACCCAGGGATCGAGCGGTACCTGGGGACAGGAGCAGTACCCAGGATGGGAGCATCACACAGAGACGGCGGAGGCGTTGCGTGAGCCGAACCCTTCTCCCCTCCATCGCAGCCTCGAGGCTGATGGCCGAGCCAGCCCCGCGGCGGGGGGGTCCCCCCAAAGCCCCCCCCTCCTTTTGGCCGGGGGGCGGAGCCAGCCCCGCGGCGGGTGGCTCCCCTCAAAGCCCCCTCCTCATCCTCAGCTTCTCCAGGACCCCGAGGAGGCAAATGCCCCTGTTTGGGGCTCACCCCATGGCCGGGGCTGCGGATGGTTCCTCGAGCGAGCAAGCGGTGGCCAGGCACGGGCTCGGCTGGCGCATGCCGTGCGCGCCGGAGGGGACGTCACCAGGTCCGGATCCTCGCCCTGCTTCCTCGAAGGAGCCGGCCGCTGCCTGCCAGGGTGACGCTGGCGGCTCGGGGCTGACCTGGTTTCTCTCCTCCAGCCCTTTCTAGCTCCGGCATCCCTCCGGCCCGGCCTGGCCTCGCTGCAGAGCGAGCGCCGAGCTCGCCGACGGCTTCCTGTGGGGGCGGAGGAATTTGGCACCCGGCCGGCGGGGCTGGGAGCCGGACACCGCGCACCACCCGGCAGCATGGTCTACCCAGCACGGCCAGCCCCGAGCACCGGCCACGGGGAGAGCTGCCACCCCCACCCAGGACCAGCCCTGGGGTTGTGTCCCCCCATGGTGATGGGGATGTTGGAGGGGAGACAGAGGTGGTGAGGGTGGCCCATATGGGGCTTGCTGTGTGTGCAGCCTCGAGCATGCAAATGCATGACACAGGCATGTGAAGCCGGCTGGTGCTGCCTGCCACACGTGTGTGCATGAGCAGGGGTTGCACATGCAAGGGTTGCATGCACAGGAGTTGCACACACAAGGCTGCACGCACAGTGGTTGCATGACAGGGGTTGCACACACAGCAGTTGCATAACAGGGGTTGGACACACAGGGTTTGCATGCACGGGGTTGCACACACAGCAGTTGCATGCACAGGGGTTGCACGTGCAGGGGTTGCACACACAAACACACAGCCCCTCTCCATCCCCTTCCTCCAGCCCCTGGGGTGGCTGGGAGCAAAATGTCCTGCTTAGCCGGGGGTCACAGCCGTGGCCCCCCTGTTCCCAGACTTGTGTCCCTTTGGGATGTCTTCGTGTCACCGGGGGTTGCACTGAGGGACTGGGGCCCTCGCTGTGACCCTGTGGTCCTGGAGCATCCCAGGTGGGGGGGACGGGGACACTCATCCCACCCGGCTGCCTCGGGGACGCCCAGGGAAGCCCCAGGGCTGTGGGAGATGCTTTGCTCTGCTCTCAGCTCAGCTGATCCCGACAGAGCCCTGGGAGCAGGGAGGGGACGGTGTGGCACAGGGCCCGGCGGTGGCACGCCCAGGGACCAGGCATCTCTGCCAGGCTCAAGACACCCGGTGATGGCAGAGAAAGGCAGCAGTGCCCTGCCACATGCTGTGACCCGCCATGGTCCCCAGGGAGATCTTGGACATGGCAGAGTCTCCGACTGCCCCTGGGCTCTGGCTGGGAAGCACTTGGGAGTGGGGACACTGAGTTTCCCAGTCTGACATGCTCCGTGGCCTGTGGGAGACTGGGTTTGGGGCCAGGGGGCTGTGGGGCGGTGGGCGCTCAAGCCCCTATTAGACATCAGAGAATCCCCATTGCCTCCCCAGGAGCAGCTGCATGGCAGTGAGTGGCTGCGCTGGTGTGACCAGGCCCCTCCCACCCCCGCCGGCCTGGCCGGGCAGCCAGAGGAGGAGCTTGGGGAGCTCAGCCCGGGCGAGCGCCCAGCCGCCTCCTGGCAGCTCCCCGAGGACGGGAGCCGGGGGCTGCTCCAGCTGGAAGCACCCCAGGGTGCTGCCGTGGGCAGGGCGATGGGGGCCCCGGGAGATGCACAGCCAGGGGCTGGCTGTGGCGAGAGGGGGATGGAGGGGATGGAGGGAGCGAGCGGCTGATGGAGGCACGGACGGAGGAGAGGGGACGGATGGAGCGGAGGGAGGGAGGGAGGGAGGGATGAGTGTGTGGGCATGGAAAGGGAGGGAGGGAAGGAGGGATGGATGGATAAATAAATAAAAAAAGGAATGGACGAGCAGTAGGATGGATGGAGGGATGGATGGTGGGATGAATGGGAGAAGGGACAGACGGTGGAGGACAGATGGGCAGCTGGAGTGAGGGATGGCTGCGTCATGGCCAAGGGGGACGTTGAACGGCCTGGCATCGTCACACCCTAAAACCAAAAAGCCACCCTCAGTTTCACCACGAAACCCTTCTATTCCCTCTCTGCCCCCAAACGCCCTCCCTTCTGCAGGGCAGCACTGACTGCCCCGCCTCGGGGATGTGCCCATGGGTGCTGCAGGCGGTGCTGACGTCCCGCCGGCTCTCGGGGACGGCACCCAGGGTGTCCCCACGGCAGGGCCCCGTGTGCCTGGGCTCGCAGGGGCTGACATCCCTGGCCTGGCGCCCACGGGACGCACTCGTTCCCCGGCGTGCCCGTGGGCAGGGGTGGGGGATGCTCCTTAATCTCGCCCTGACCTCCGTGGGGGGGCTGAGCAGCAGCTGCGGAGCTGGGCCCGGCTGCCCCGGCGTGTCCTGCCCCGCCGCCGGTGGCACCGTCCTGTGCCGGCACCGGGGACGGGCGCAACCCAGGCAGGTGGAGAAGGGGAGTGGGCTCTGCCCGTGGCACGGCTTGGGGTACAGCCCCAGCGCTGCCCATGGCATGGCCCCAGTGCTGCCCAGTGTATATCCCCAACGCTGCCCATGGTACAGCCCCGATGCCGCCCATGGCACAGCAAAGCACATGCCCAGCTCTGCCCACGGCGTGGCCCCAGTGCTGCCCCTTTTATAGTCCCAGTGCCGCCCATGGTATAGCTCCAACACTGCCCATGACACGGCTCTGGTGCTGCCCCAACGCTGCCCATGACACAGCTCCAACGCTGCCCACGCTGCGTCCCAAGGACTGCCCATGGAAACGCAGGGCACATCCCAGTCCTGCCAGTGGCACAATGTGGCACATCCCAGCCCTGCCCATGGCACAGCGTAGCACATCCCAGTCCTGCCTGTGGCACAATGTGGCACATCCCAGTCCTGGCCATGGCACAGTGTGGCACATCCCAGCCCTGCCCATGGCACAATGTGGCACATCCCCGTCCTGCCCGTGGCACATCCCAGCCCTGCGCAGGCTCCTGCCAGCCCCTTGGGGCGATGCCCGGGTGGGTAGGCCCTGGGCTGCAGCCCCCACAGTGGGGAACGGGGTGAGGACCAGCCTGGCACTGGGTGGGGGGCCTTCCCCAGCCCCCCCAGCTCTCGGCACAGCCCCCGGGCCCCCCCTCTGCCTGCCGACGTGGAGGCTGTGCCGGAGACGTGTCAGCGGTGGGGTGGGAGCCAAGGGCATCGCCTGGGCGATGCCCGGGTGGGTAGGCCCTGGGCTGCAGCCCCCACAGTGGGGAACGGGGTGAGGACCAGCCTGGCACTGGGTGGGGGGCCTTCCCCAGCCCCCCCAGCTCTCGGCACAGCCCCCGGGCCCCCCCTCTGCCTGCCGACGTGGAGGCTGTGCCGGAGACGTGTCAGCGGTGGGGTGGGAGCCAAGGGCATCGCCTGCGCCTGCCCCCCCTCTCCCCTCCCCCGGCCCAGCCTTTTCCCTTCCAGCTCTGCTGTTTGAAGCTATTTTTTCCACAGCTCCTGCCAAGAGCCGCTAATGAGAAACAAACGGGCTCCTCCGACCACTGCTGCTCCCAGCCCACACACCTCCGGCTGCCCATCGGCCGGGGCCGGGGCACCATCCCCCCGTCAGCACCGCTGTCCTGCCCGTCTGGTACCAGCCCGGGGCACCTCCAGCCTTCCCAGCCAGCGCCATCCCAGGGCATCTCTGTCCTGCCTGTGTGCCACCAGCCCTGGGCATGTCCATCCTTCCCAGCTGGGACCATCCCAGGGCATCTCCATATTGGCCATGTGCCACCATCCCAGAGCATCTCCATGCTGCCCAGCTGGAGCACCTCCAGCCTTCCCAGCTGGCACCATCCCAGGGCATCTCCATCCTGCCCATGTGCTGCCATCCCTGGGCATCCCATTGAGTCCAGCCCCCATCCCAGGCATTTCTGTCCTGTCCATCCAGCCACCATCCTTGGGCATCTTCATCCTGCTCATCCAGCATCATCCCTGGGCATCTCCAGCATTCCCAGTGGGCACCATTCCCAGACATCTCCATCCTGCCCATGTGCTGCCATCCCTGGGCATCTCCATTGTGTCCAGCCCCCATCCCAGCCATCTCCATCCTGTCCATCCAGCCACCAGCCCTGGGCATCTTCATCCTGCCCATAAGCCACCAGCCTGGGCATCTCCGTCCCACCGCAGCGCAGAGATGGGCCAAGGAAGGGTCCCACCAGCCCCCAAGCACCGCGTGTCCCCACAGCAGCCTCCTCCGCTGTGTCCCTCTCTGTGGGGACGCGGCTGTGGCCAGGGCCAGGCGCAGGATTGGGCCGGGCGCAGGAGGGATGCGGGAGGCGGGTGAGCGGGAGGGAGCGAGGCGCGAGGGAGTCCCGAGCTGTCCCCCCCGCCGGGTGCCCCGGCCCCCCCGGCCGCCGCAGGCTCAGCCGGGGCCGCAGCCAAGCCCGTGCTGTTCCAGTTGGCCCCAGCCCGGCCCTGAGTTATCTGCAGCTCTGTGGCGGGTCACATTTTCCACTGAGCCATGTTTGTGTTTGAAAGGCGGCGGGGAGGAGGGGAGGAGAGAAGGGAGCGCGGGAGAAGGGCAGAGACCCCCTCCGGGGGGGGGGAAGGCTGTCAGCAGCCGCCCCGCCAAGGGAGGAGGCACCGGCCGACGGGGGCCAGAGGAATGTGCCGGGCACCGGAGCCGCTTGCCGGAATCCCGCCGGCCAGCGGCCACCGTCCCCATCCCCATCCCCATCCCCGGGGGACGTGTCTGCTTCCAATTAGGGCTCGTGGTACGGGGCCATGCTGGGTAGGCTGGGGGGGATGGAGTGGGGGGACCCCCCTGCACCCCGCTGCTGCCTCTCCGGGGGTGCGTGGGCACCACGGGGGGAGCCTGGTGCTGGGCACAGCCCATGGCATGGCACCGGATCGGGGACACTGGGGGCTCCATCACAGCCCCTCTCGCCCCGCTGTGCCTCAGTTTCCCCTCCCGGGCGGGTGCACACGTGTGCAGGGCAGGGACGGGCCGAGGCCAGCAGCGGGGTTTTTTTGGGGGAGAAAGGACTTTTTTACTTTTTTTGGCTTTGCCCCAATTTCATCCCTTTGAAATCCTTTTGTTGAATGGCCCCGCCCCCTCCCGCACAGGCCACGCCCACACAGGCCGGGGGCCACACCCTTTTCCCATCCCCCCCACCCCCAGCCCAGCCACCCAGCAACGTCAACCCTAACCCAAATACCCCAACCACCAACCCACGTACCCCAACCACCAACCCCAACAACCTCGGTACCCCAAGGCAATAACCCCAACCCAACAACCCCAACCACCAACCCACCAAGCCCGACCGCCTGACTACCCCAGCCTGACAACCCCAACCCAACAACCCCATCCCAACAACCCCAACCCAACAGCCCCAACCCAACAACCCTGACCCCACAACCCCGACCTGAACCCAACAACCCCAACCACCAACCCAACAACCTCAACCCAACCCCAACCACCAACCCACCAACCCACCAACGCCAACCCAACAGCCCCAACCAGCTCCCAGCTCCCTACTGGGAGTGAGACCCCCCCCCCGGACAGGCTTGGTGCTGGACGTGCCCAATGTCCTTTGGGAACCGGGGACCTGCCACCCCTCTTGCTGGCAGGGGAGACCCTGGAGCTCTGCTCCCCAAAAACCA